TGGACATTTAACCAAGCCACCCAGGTACCCCTGTTTGTTATTTCTATGAGTTTTTTGTGGATATCTTACAATTTTCCACATATAGGATCATGTTATCTGTAAACAACGACAGTTTTACTTTCTTTCCAATCCGGTTATCTTTTGTTTTCTTTCCTGATTGTACTAGAGCCTGAGAATACGTATTTTTTAAGAGGTTCCAAGGTGATGCCAATGCTGCTGATCTGGGGACCACACTTGGAGATCCACTGTTTTAAAGAATGTGTATCTCATGATGGAAATGACACTTGACGTGCGTCGTGGAAGGGAAGTAAATGTTTCTTTTTTTTAATATTAACATATAGTGTATTATTTTCCCCAGGGGTACAGGTCAGTGAATCATCAGGCTTACACATTTCACAGCACTCACCATAGCACATACCCTCCCCAATGTCCATAACCCAGCCACCCTATCCCTATTCCCCACCTCCCACCCCCCAGCAACCCTCACTTTGTTTTGTGAGATTAAGAGTCTCTTATGTTTGTCTCCCTCCCGATCCCATCTTGTTTCATTTTTTTCCCTCCCCACCCACCACGACCCCTTGCCCTGCCTCTCAAATTCCTCATATCAGAGAGGTCGTACGATAATTGTCTTTTTCCAACTGACTTATTTTGCTTAGCATAATACTCTCTAGTTCCATCCATGTCACTGCAGATAGCAAGATATCGGTTTTTTGATGGCTGCATAGTATTCCATTGTAGATATATACAACATCTTCTTTATCCATCCATCTGTTGACGGACGTCTAGGTTCTTTTCATAGTTTGGCTATTGTGGACATTGCTGCTATAAACATTCGGGTGCACGGGCCCCTTCAGATCACTACATTTGTATCTTTGGGGTAAATGCCCAGTAGTGCGAATGCTGGGTCATAGGGTAGCTCTATTTTCAACTTTTTGAGGGACCTCCATACTGTTTTGGAAGGGAAGTAAATATTACAATATACTACAAGTATAAGATCCTCTCTATACACGTGAGGGAAAATGATGATCCAAGTGATCCAAATCGTCTAAGCATAATTACATAATTACTTTGGAAGAAATACATAAACAGAGATTATCCAGTGAGGTTTTGGTGATCTATACATTATTTGTATGTATGTATGTATGTATGTACATAGGTATGTACTTATTGATTGATTCATTGATTGATTATAAACTCTACACCAAATGTGGAGCTTCAGCTCATGACCCCAACCTTGAATTTAGGAGCTGCATGCTCCACTGACTGAGCCAGCCAGGTGCCCCATCTATACATCTTAAAAAGCTTTTAAAAATTTCAAAATGGGGGCACCTGGGTGGCTCAGTGGGTTAAGCCTCTGCCTTCAGGTCGTGATCCCAGGGTCCTGGGATCGAGCCCTGCATCAGGCTCTCTGCTCAGCAGGGAGCTTGCTTCCCCCCACCCCGCCTGCCTCTCTGCCTACTTGTGATCTCTCTGTCAAATATATAAATAAAATCTTAAAAAAAAAACTTCAAAATGTTACTGTCAATGACTAGAGAAAAGCTAAAACGGTATGGAGTATCCATTCTGGAATTACAGTTATTCATAAACAGAGTACCAAATCAAAGGTATTAACATTAGAATCATAATAAAACAGGGTTGACTGGGTGGCTCAGTGGATTAAGCAACCAACTCTTGATTTCTGCTCAGGTCATGATCTCTGGGTCATGGGATTGAACCCTGAGTCAGGTTCCACACTGGAAGTGGAGTCTGCTTGAGATTATCTCTCTCCCCCTCCCTCTATTCTTTCCCCTACATGCACTCTCATTCTCTCAAATAAGTAAATAAATCTTAAAAAAAGAATCATAATAAAACAGTAACAACAATGATAAGGTTAATAACAATATGCATAGAACACTTACGAATGCCACATACTATTCTAACTGCTATAAGATACTAATTCATTGAATTCTTACAGCCCTATGAGTTAGCTATTATCATTATCCCCATCTTGTAGATAAGGGAACTGAGACACAGAGAATTTATTTATTTAAAAGATTTTATTCATTTATTTGAGAGAGAAAGAGACCATGCATGCACAGGAGCAAGGGGGAAGAGCAGAGGGAGGGGGACAAGGAGACTCACACTGAGTATGGAGCCCAATGCAGGACTTGATCTCACAACCATGAACTCAAGTTCATGACCTGAGTCAAAATCAAGAGTTAGATGCTCAAATGACTGAGCCACCCAGGTGCTCTGAGGCATAGCAAATTTAAATAACTTGCTCAAGGTCACACATCTAGTAGGTGTCAGAGCCATGATTACCCCAAGGCAATGTAGCTCTAGGGCCCACTCTTTCCCATAATGCTGTACTCCTTCTGTTTCTTCTTGCCACAGACAATAACAATTTACTTCCTCTAAGTAACAAAAGCAATCTTCTACTGCTTTCTGTGAACTTCCCTTTTAACCATTTCAGAGGGAGTCCAAAAAATTAGGTTATTGTCCAACATTTGAGGAGCTTAACAGTGCCTGGATCTAAGGATGGTTACCTAGCTGTTCACTTGAAACAAAGCTGTGTGGTGGGTTCTGAGAGATAGCAAAGTTGCAGTCTTCTTCTAGAAGCTCACAGAAGAGGCAGAATGAAGATAATGAGTTCCTTGAGGAGGGTAGGCATAACATGCTTTAGCCAGGATGGCTGAATCACACAAAGGAATAGAGCCTTACCAGAAGCCAAAAAATGTCAATGACAACCCTTCTGATGTTCCTAATTCTAGGTTGTTTGGTGGGTCTTGAAACCTTAAATAGCTCTGCAAAGGGATGTGGTAAGTTCATATGACCCCTCTCTGCTGGAACAGCTTTGTCCTGTCCAAATGAATCTTAGTCACCACTCTGGCTATTTTAGGCCTGAGTCTGATTTTGTGGCACTGGGAGAACTATGGCATCGGTTTCTTGTGATAGAGCAAACCTGAGCCCCATGGTAAAAGGCCTGTACTAAAAGCCCCAGACAAGGCAATGTCATAAGGGCCAAAGCAGTTCTAGAGTTAAAAAGACTAGGGAAGAGTTGAGAGGAAAAAAAAGATAATTAATGGTTTCTTTGGGGAGGAAATGAACATCAAAAACAGCTGGCCAAATTTCACTTTGTATAGTAAGATTTTTTTTTCTCTCTTGTAGGCTACATTGGTTTAGGTGTATATTAAAGATGCGGGGTTGCCTGGGTGGCCTCAGACTCTTAAACATCTGCCTTTGGCTCAGGTCATGATCTCAGGGTCCTGGGATCGAGTCCCTGCATCAGGCTCCTTGCTCAGTGGGGAGCCTGCTTCTCCTTCTCCCTCTGCCTGATGCTCTGCCTACTACTTGTGCTCTCTGTCAAATAAATAAATAAAATCTTTAAAACAAAAGAAAACAAAATAAAGATGGGGAAACTTCTTTGGGCACCATCTTGATATTAGCATGTCATTAATAATCATTTTTGCCAAGGACTTTTAAAGCAAATAGAGAAGAGCCAGTTTGAATCCCTGACTGCAAAAACAATTAGGGCAGAGGCTTAACTGAGAATCATTATCACTAACAATGACATGTTGCAATTTCCCTTGCTGTACAATAGCACAGTCCAAAAGAACTTTTTACAATGATGGAGATGTCCTATTTGGCACCCACATTTGATTACTGAGCACTTGAAATGTGCTAGTGTGACCAGGGAACTGATCTTTTAGTTTTAATTTTCATTGATTTAAATTTTAATAGCTACATGTGGCTACCAGCTACCACGATGGACAGTACAGATATATAGCATAATATTGTGGACTAGGTTACCCCAAATTCATATAAGTGTTCTTCTAAATCTAGAGTTGTATACAATTATTCATATATTTCAGGGGTTGAATAGTGAATGTTATTGCAATTTATGACCTATCCGAAAACACAAAGTTTTATAATTGGCAGGAGTCACTGGCTCAGGAAGACTACTAACCAATCAACCACTTAGAGGAGTTAAAAATTATGTGTTTATAGTAATAAAAAATAAGTAAAATGTAAGTTAAGTTCAAGACCACAATATAATAGAGTTTCCTCTGTTGGAAAGAGCTGAGAAGGGGGATGATGTTGTCACATAACATTTTTGAATAGTGCTGGGGAGCCTGGGTTGCTCACTTGATTATGCGTCCAACTCATGGTTTTGGCTCAGGTCATGATCTCAGGGTTGTGGGATTGAGCCCTGTGTTGGGCTCTGAGCTCAGCATAGAGTCTGCTTGAGATTCCCTTTCCCTTTACCCCTGCTCTCCCTTTCTCTCAAATAAATAAATAAATAGATAGATAGATAGATAGAAAAATAACATTTTTGAATAGTGCTAAAAGACTCCATTATTTTTGTTTGGTCTTTTACAAAACGTTTAAAAATCAAATGGGCTCCCCACATGGGATAATTATATATATTTTTGGTGACATAGATAGAGTGGTAAAAGGAGAAAGGTACCTAGGAAGAATAAAGAAAAGGTGAGTAAAGTAATTTGAAAATATTTTCTAGTAGACCAAGGTAGTGGTCTGCTTTGTGATGGTTATCCAATTCTAACCCAGTATCGTTTTCATTGAGCTGAACTCACATTTTGTCAAAATATTTGAGAAAATGGGGATGCCTGGGTAGCTCAGTCTGTTAAGCGTCTAACTTTGACTTGGGTCATGATCCTGGGGTCCTGAGATTGAGTCCCACACTGGGATCCCTGCTCAGCAGGAAGCTTGCTTCTCCCTACCCACCTCCCACTGACCCCCAACACTTGAGCTCTTTCTCGCTCTCTCTCTCAGATCAATAAGTAAATAAAAACTTTAAAAAAATTTAAAAAATTATATCTCTGCTATGAATTTTCAGGATAATACAAATCAAAATGTGATTAATCTTCCATTTATTATAACATTTTGTTTAGATTCACACTTAGATATTACCTTAAATGATTTAAAAACCAAAATCTTATTGAAGTAAGTTTCAGAAGTGAGAATTTAGCTGTAAGAAAGCTTTTTGCTGATTTAATTACCTTTAGTTTCCTCCTTGCATTGAATTTCCTCAGTTGCTCTACTGTTTCTGGAAGATGAATCTTGTAGGCATAACGATCCCGCTCCTATAAAAGAAGAAAGATAATGAACATATGGAGCCATTTAAAAAAGTGAAGAAACTTAATCAAAAACAAATAATAAAGCCCAAATTTCTTAAATATGAAACTTAGACTGAATTCTAGAATACTGGAGATTTTATTCCATGATACTGGTAAACATTATCAAATGAAAGCTACGAAGGTCAAAAGTGATAGTAAAATAATCTTTTTTTTTTTAAATAATCTTTTCAACATAAGAAAAGGCTGAAATAATGGGTTATATAATTTTCAGGTATGGCTATATGGCTAAGATAACCGACCATAATTCTGAAAAGTATGAAGTTACCTTTGATATGATCTTATAAGGTAAAACGAGCATGTGAAAAACTAACTCCACAAATGACTGAGCATTTGGAGTCATCTGGAATAAATGGATTTAAAAAAAAGAAAAATCCCAGGGGCACCTGGGTGGCTCAGTGGGTTAAAGCCTCTGCCTTCGGCTCAGGTCATGATCCCAGGGTCCTGGGATCGAGCCCCGCATCGGGCTCTCTGCTCAGCGGGGAGCCTGCTTCCCTTCCTCTCTCTCTGCCTGCCTCTCTGCCTACTTGTGATCTCTGTCAAATAAATAAATAAAAATCTTTAAAAAAAAAAGGGAGAAAAATCCCAGTATCTATGAACTAGAACAAAGTTTTCAAGGCCATCTAATTCAACCATTTCACCATGGGGGATACTCTTCAATCCCTGATGGGAGGATTATTCTGTTTGACCCTGTCCAGTAGGTGATCATTATTTTATGGCAACTTACTATAATTTTAAGAAAGTAAAAATGTTCTTACTTAGCCTGGGCCCATACCTGGCTTGTTTGGATTAGCTCTGTCCTCTGCAACATCACGGAGCAAATATCCTACCTCTTCCATACAATAACACTTCAGTAGCTAAGAGGGGGATCACGCTTCTCCTAAATCTATTCTCTGGGATGTCTCCAGTTGCCTCAACTATTCCTCCTGTATATTTTAAACCTCTTGTCATCCTTCTTAACATCTTCAGTTCAACTCTAATTTGTCAGTGCATCAAAGATTTAGGTAAGTATTCATTTCAGAAATATTTCTTGAGAGAATACTATGTGCTAGGCATCGTTCTATCCATTTGGGATACATGAATAAACAAAACCAACAAAGATTCAGGCCCTCGTATAGCTCATATTCGAATAGGAGAAGGAAATACAAAAAGGTAAATTATGGAGTATGATAAAAACAGTATGGAATAAAGGAAAAAGGAAAGCAGAGTGAGGGGGGTTGGGTATACTGAAGTTTAAAACAGGGTGGTCAGAGTAGGCCCAATTACTGTGAGGACACCCAAAAGTGGTGAGGAAGTGGTCTAGGCAGGGAGAACCAACAATCCAAAGGCCCAAAGGAGGGAGTGCACCTAGAATTTCTAAGAACTAGCAGGGAGACCCAGGTGTGTAGAGTAAATAGATCAGATCAGAGAGATGACAGGCTGGGGCGTAGGCCATAAACAGCCTTTTACTCTGCGTGGAAGAGGGAGCCACTGGAGGGTTTTGAGCTGAAGTGACATGATCTGACAATTTTAAAGGAACAATTGGTTATTGTTTTGAAAACAGATTAGAAGGGGGCACGGGTTTAAGAAAAAAAAAGTGGGGGGGCAAGGATACTAGTTAGAAGGTTATTGCAGTAATCTGTGGGGGGAGATGATAGATGAAATCAGGTGGAAAAATTTAAAAAGGTGAAAAGGAGATAGATTCTGAATATATTTTGTTTTCCACAGAATGTTTTACTGAAGTGTAATTAGCATATAACAAACTGCATGTTTAAAATGTATAATTTGATCAGTTTTGATTTATAATAAAAGCATCACCGCAATCAAGATGCATATACCACTCTCGAAAGTTTCCCTATGTCCTTTCGTCCTTTCCCTTCCAGTCCCCAGGCAGCCACTGTTTCTGTCACTGTAGATTGGTTTGCATTTTCTAGAATTTTACAGAAACGGAACCAGACAGTATGTACTCATTTTCCAACTTGTTTCAGTCCTCATAAAGGTTCTGAACTTCATCCGTGAAGTTGCGAGTATCAATAGTTCAGCCCTTTTTTATTGCCGAGTGGCATACCACTGTAAGGATATGCCATAATTTGTTTATTCGTTCATCTGCTTATCGACTGTGGGTTTTTTCCAAATTTTGGCTAGTACACAGAAAGCTGCTATGAATATTAATGTACAAGTCTTTGTATGGACATGTATTTCATTTCTCTTAGGTAAATACTTAGGAGTAGAATGGCTGGGTTGTATTATAGGAGTATGTTTAACTTTTTAAGAAACTGCCAATCTGTTTTCCAAAGTGGTTGTACCATTTTACATTTCCATAGCAATGTATCACTTCCGGTTGTTCTATATTCTCGCCAGCACTTGGTATGGTGAGTTTTCTGATTTTACTCATTCTGATACATGTGCCTATAGAAATCTCATTGTGGCATTACTTTGTATTTCCCTGATGACTCATGATGTTGAGCAACTTTGCTTATGCTTATTTGCCATCCACATATCTTCCTTGTTGAAGTGTCTGTACCAAATATTTCCCTGTTCTGAACTGGGTTGGGTGTTTTCTTATTACTGACTTTTAAGAATTCTTCCCAAATAGGGAAAGGGGATTAAAAGGTACAAACTCCCAGTTATAAAATAAATAAGACACAGAGATGTAATGTACAGCAAAGGAAATACAGTTAATAATATTGTAACAACTCTGTATGGTGACAGATGGTAGCTAGGTTTTAGCATGGTGATTACTTCATAATGTATATAAACTTTCAATTACTATGTTGTACACGTGAAACGGATATAATATTGTGTGTCAATGACAGTTCAAAAGAAGGGATTCTTTACATAACCTAAATATGTAACTCCTTTATCAGATAGCTAATTTGCAAATATTTACTCCCATTTCATAGCTTATCTTTTCATTTCTTTACAGTGTCTTTCCAAGAACAGAAGTTCTTAATTCTGAATATATTTTGTAGGTGGAAAGAACAGGATTTTCTGACAGATTGGTTGTGGGGTGTGAGAGAGAGGAGTCAAAGACTACACCAAGTTTTTCAGTGTGAGCAACTAGGAGTCTGACACCAATGGAGATGGGGAAGAGAGCAGGACTATAGTTTTGACTGTATTATGCTTGAAATATATAAAGTTCAAATGGAGATTCAAGTAGGTACTTGGACATACAAGCCTGGAGTGCAGGAGAGAAATGTGGGCTGGAAATGAAGTTTTGGAGGGTCATAAACATTTAGAAGGTATTAAGTTAGTATTTAACTCTGTCCCAGCCACTGAATTTGGGACTTTCACTGGCATTATTCCGTTTATTCTTTTTTTAAAAAAAGATTTTATTTATTTACCTGACAGAGACACAGCGAGGGAGGGAACACAGCAGAGGGAGGGGAGAGGGAAAAGTAGGGAGCCCGATGCGGGGCTCGATCCCAGGACCCTGGGATCATGACCTGGGCCGAAGGTAGATGCTTAATCACTAAGCCACCCAGGCACCACATATTCTTTTTTTCTTTTTTAATTAGAAATATTTACTTATTTTAGAGAGAGCGTGTGCAAGAGCAGGAAGAGGGGCAGAGGGAGAGAGAGAATCTCCAGCAGACTCTGCTGAGTACAGAGCCTGATTCAGGGCTTGATTTGATTTCAAGACCCTGAGGTCATGACCTGAGCTGAAATCAAGAGTCGGATGCTTATGTGACTGAGCCATCCAGGGGCCCCCCTCATTTATTCTTTAAAACAACTATATAAGATAGTAGAGATAATACCTATACATTATCTCAAAAGTCGTGGCTCAAATGGATGTAACTATCATCACAATAGTTAGCATGTATTGAGGGGCTTATTACATGCCAGGCATTGTTCTAGTGCTTTACATGTTTATGTTACTTATTCTTTACAAGGTAGGAGGACATTATATCTTATTATGCATCTGGGAAAAAAGGAGATGCATTATACCTGATGAAGATTAATTAGTATGAAGTGGGCCTCTTAATTTTCTTAATCTGAATACTATATAACATTTGGAAATTAAATTCAAGATCACATTATTATTATTTTTTAAAGATTTTGTTTATTTATTTGACAGACAGAGATCGCAAGTAGGCAGAGAGGCAGGCAGAGAGAGATGGGGAAGCAGGCTCCCCGCTGAGCAGAGAGCCCGATGTGGGGCTCGATCCCAGGACCCTGGGATCATGACCTGAGCCGAAGGCAGAGGCCTTAACCCACTGAGCCACACAGGTGCCCCTATTTTTTATTTCTGAAAAGATTTTATTTATTTGTCAGAGAGAAAGAGAGAGAGAGAGTGCACAAGAAGAGGGAGAAGCAGGCTCCCCAATGAGCAGGGAGCCTGATGTGGGATTTGATCCCAGGACTCTGGGATCATGACCTGAGCTGAAGGCAGACACTTTACCAACTGAGCTACCTGGGCACCCCACATTATTATTTTATATCTAAATTCATGTGTGCATGTGAGCCACTTCTAAAATCAATATTTTGGTATTATGTACTTACGAAATTTATTTTTGAATTTAAGTGTAGAATTTTATAGTCAGTCCTGTCAAAACTTCACCTTATTATCATTGACATTCCTAAGGAATGAATACAAACACTTTAAAATTTATTTTCTACATTAAATGACTAAATGTAACAAGAGTTCTACTGGAGAGCAAAGTTGTATTTTTCTTGAGTGCACATATAATGCTTGATGTCAAAATGACTATAATTTGCACATCTGCCAGATTCTATATGCTAAACATCTTGGAAATGATTTTATTGTCTTTAGGGACTTAATCTCCTTTTCCTGCACTAAGCCAGAACAGGTTCACCAATACAGAAGACATAAGAATTTATCAAATAATTAACTAGCAGAGACAAGCATAAAATTAGCATTCTATAACAAGCAAGGCAATCTTTTAATGGATTGCTGTTACTGTTTGTGGAAGATGTGATACACATACACACGTACATAACACACAATG